CTCCCCTCCCCTGTCCTGCCTCCTGAATGCTCCTCCACATCAGGGCCCTTAAGCTTTTTCTTCAGCATCAGATCTAACAGCTGTCAGGTGTTTCTTTCCAAGTCTTCCTTTGTTCTTTTTTTAAACTTCATAAGCCGATAGTATGGATTTGTTTAGGTTAAAAAAAAAAAACAACGCCCCTGCTAAAATCACAGGTTTCTGAAATCTGGAGTCTGCTGTATGTCTCTGCGCCGGAGCCCCGCACACAAACACTGTGGACCACAGAGAAGGACTGGCTATCTCACAAGTGGCCAGTTTCCATGCTTGTCTTGGGAGTGAGGGTTTAATTCACTGTCTGAGGAGAACCATGTTAAATCCCACTTACTGGGAATGAACATAAATGGGTAAGTGAAAATGATTGCAAAAATACTAATTGGAAAAAATTAAAAACAAAAACAACACAAAACCTTCCTAGATGGTAGCCATGAGGAGCGTGCCAGGGACAGGGCTCTTCGACCTTTCCAAGGCTCCATCTTCTTGATGTAGATAAACACACTTTTACTTTTTCATCTTCAGGATTCAGTGTTGGAGATGTTTGCTTATTTTATAGGTTAATTACTTAAAACTAGTATCTACTCAAGCTCTGTAAGTTTTGCAATAATTGTACAAAAATCTGTGATAATAGAAGTATATGTACTTTGAAGGAGTGGGTTTTTGAGTGGCTTTCTTAAGATTTTCTTCAGAGTTTAAATATTCCAGATGAATATATATTATATATTATCTTTACATAAAATGTTATTTTGTATAAATATAAAATATTTATATCAATATTTGTATAAATTATAAAGTATTTATATACAAAGATATATATTCATAAAATCTCAAAAAGATTTATAAAAAACGTATTTATATAAAAATAAAAATATATATGCTTATAAAATCTTAGAAAGATTTCCACAAGTATAGCTTTAAAGAAAACTATTCACCCAGAAAGGTCTGTGCATGGTGTCCCAGGTGGGCTGCGACTTACCTCCCAATGAGCTGCTGGCAGGTTTTCCTTGCAGAGACCACAGTGCGGGCAACACTCCCAAAGAACATCTGAAGACCCTTGATTGTGTCTGTACCTTCTTCAAACTCCACACTCATACCAGCATTGACAATGGCGAAGGCATTTTCCTGACGCTGGGCCAGACGGAGTCCTGCCACAAAGTGCCACTAGAGACGGAAAAACACTCAGAACGGTTAGTGTGTGCCACACAGCAACTACTCTGACAACTTGTGGTGTGTGTGTGTGTGTGTGTGTGTGTGTGTGTGTGTGTGTGTGTGTGTAGCTGTTTGTATGAATGTGCACAAGTATGTGAAGGTGGAGGCCAGGGGTCAACATCAAAAGTCTTCTTCAGTTTTCCCCGTCTTACTTTTTTTGGAGACAGGATCTCTCACTGACCCTGGGGCTTACCAGTTGGTCAGGATATCTGCCCAGTGAGCTTCCAGGATCTGCCCTGTCTCTGTGTACCACCGTCCAGCCCCGCAGATCTGGGGTCACAGACACGGACATACATCATCACATCTACAATTTTTTTTTTTTAAATGTGGGTGTTGGGACTTGAACTTAGATTCTCACGCTTGCCACCACCGACACTCTACCCACCGAGTCATGTCCCCTGCCCTTTCGATGGGTATTTGAAATAAAGATCCAGCAAATGGTGGATCACACAGGCAGTGACTGACGGTAGTTCCCGTGAGTATTGCCCTGTGTGTTTCATTTAGAGCAACATTTAATCCTCAACAGCTCTGCTCATTTCCAATTCTGAGGACACACGTTCGTCACTTGTGCAAGGTCACAGCAAGTGGCTGGCCTGGGGTTCAGATTCTGCTTAAGCTCCAGGCTCTCAGCTTTTCACGGCATCGCCCGAGGCCACGAGGAAGTGACTCATGTGTTCGGGTCTTATTTGCTCTAAGAAGGCATCGGGGTGGATCAGACTGTGTTTGAGGCTGCTGAGTGAGCCAAGGGCCAGACAGGGAGATGATATACCTCAGATCCTCACCCTAGCTCCCTTCCACCGACTTCCAGCCCAGAGCTCCTCCGGTTCTTGGGCCATTCATTTCCCATCCTTGGTGATTGGGTTTTGTTTCCTATTTCAAGCCTTTCCCCACTAGGGTTAGGGAGCTTGAAGGAAGGAACCGTAGACCTTTGAAACTCTTATACTGTCTTCCAGGCTCAGCGCTGTGTGACAGAGCGGTAGGAACTTAGTACATAAATGATTTCATGCAAACTACCTAGTTCATAGCTATTGGTGATTGGCAAATAACTTCATAACACATTTTTTCAGTTCGTTAGAAACCTCCATAGCTGATACTGACTATAAATTTACATACTTCCGGCTAGGATGCATTTTCATCTATAACCAAGATTTCCACTCATACAGAAGCTTCTGTTGTTTGCAAGGCCAGTGTCCCTTTAGGCACATCCCCGAAAAGTCATAATGTGGCCCTTCTGTGGAAGCAACTGAAATGGTCATCTGGGGCTCGATCCCTCACCATGAGGGCCCCCAGACTCTCTCAGAGGCAATCATCAGCCACAGAGAGGCCCATTCTGTTTGGATGCAGAAGGCAAGAGGAGGTGTGTAGGCAGGTTTCGAGTACAGGAAGCTCACCTGGGTAGTGTAAGGGATGGAAACAGACACCACCACCTCCTCTGGCTTCAAGTTGGCCTCAGGTAACTCCTCAAGGAAAGCGCCATTTAAAGAAATCTGCTGTTCTCCTTCTGTTAGAGAGAATGATCCAGACTAAGACACATTTCTCAAACAGGGGACTACACAGTAAGCATCTGTAAGGTCTGGTGGAATGAACTGGTGTGGCCGGGAGCCAGAGTCCGGGGACTGAGATCTAGCCCCGAGCCTGGGCTGCCTGAAGCAAGTCATAGAAACTTTGGGGCCCAGGTTTCAGAATGACTGGGTGGAACCAGATGAACTGAAAGTCTCAGAGCCCATTGCACGCCACTCACCAACACTGGACTTAAAGATCTTTAAAGTTATCAGGGAAACAACCTGCTACAATGTATAACATTTCACAAATGAGAAAAGAAAGATCCAGGGAAGTTAAATTACTTTTCCAAACTGGCACAGTGGAGTGTGTGTGTGTGTGTGTGTGTGTGTGTGTGTGTGTGTGTGTGTGTGTGTGTGTGTGTGTGTGTTCTTTTTTGTGTGTTTCTTTTTTTGCGTGTGTTCATGTGGGTGTGGGTGCACATGTCTGTGTGAGTATGCTTGCACACGAGGGTGTCAGCCAGATGTCAACCTTGGATGCTGTCCCTCGGGTTCTGTCTACCTTGACTTCTTTGGAAACAGGGTCTGTCACTTGGTTAGGGAGGCTGGCTGCCCAGGGATCTGCTTACCCTCTCCAGCCTCTGGGATTACAAGAAGCCCCCCCAACCCCCACCCCGGGGGTTGAACTCATGATGCTTATGCAGCAAGCATGTTACTATGGAGCTTCCTTTTCAGCTCTATCTTCTTTTCTCTGACTAAAATCATAAGCACGTGCACTTTTTCTGAGATGCTTACAGTCATTTGAATCAGTCTTAAAACTATAACTTTAATTTAAGGGAAGGTATTTTTACAATAGTAAGTAGCACTGTGAATAGCATCAACTTGCTTTTCTTCCCTTAAGTTTAGATAAGTTTTCCTCCACAAAGCTCATATGTGACTAAAAAGAGAACTAATGGGTAGCATATATAAAAACTGACTTCTTTTCAGAACTAGGGAAAGAAATATGTCATAAACTTTAAAGCCGCGGAGAAACCTCTTCCTCTATCTTTTCCATTTATTGATTTATCAATTGCATGTGCATGTACTATGGTGCTTGCGTGGAGGTCAGAGGGCAACCTACAGGACTCTGGGTTTCTCCTTCGACCTTGTGGGTCCCCGGGATCACACTCAGGTGGCCAGGCTTGGCGGCAAGCGCCTAACCCACAGCACTATTACACCAGCCCTGATCCTTTCCTTGAATTTCTTTGATGTTATAACTTGGGCTGCTTATAAACGGGTCAAATGTTTAAGAAAAGTATCAGAGACATTAATCCAGTCTCTACGTACAGAACAGCTGGGGGACAGAGGCAACAGCTTCTGCCTCAGGTGTGAGGAGATGTCTGAGCGTCAGGGGGCCAAGTAAGATGTTCTCGGGTCCCCATTTCATAATCTACAGCAGGATCTATGTAATAATGGTAGTAGAAAATCAAATTCCCAAAGCTCGTCTTCTTACATTTATTTATTTATTTATTTATTTATTTATTTATTTATTTATTTAGTTTTTCGAGACAGGGTTTCTCTGTGTAGCTTTGGAGCCTGTCCTGGAGCTCACTTGGTAGCCCAGGCTGGCCTCAAACTCACAGAGATCCGCCTTCCTCTGCCTCCCAAGTGCTGGGATTAAAGCGTGTGCCACCACCGCCCGGCCCTCTTACCTTTAGATACCACATTGATGGTAGCATTTCCTGCTGCCAAAATGGGGTTGAGGTCAGAAAAGTTAGGCCGGCTCACCACGTGCCCTCCTAAAGTCTGAAGAAAAGAGGGCATCGAAAGAAGCTTCATTCAGTGACTTGACAAGTAAGGAATCGTGTGCACAGAGATATTGTATACGTTTTCAATTCCCCCTTTGCTCTGCAGAAAGACCCGGGAGCGTTTGGAAGCAGCTAACCCATCCAGACGCCATGCTGTGCTCAGCTCCCACTCTTGACCCGCCTAACGGCCACCTAAGCCGAGAAAGCGCCCGAGTGCAGTGGAACAGTTTCTTGGAGGAACGGTCCCAACAGGAATTTGTGTTTGTCCGGAAGCCTTCCTGGGTATGCACGCTCACTCAGGAAGCCGAGAAAGAGAAGCCAGCAGGTTAGGGGAAAAGTGGGTGTGACACACACCCACAGAGGAAGAGAGTCCCCTATAGGGAAGGTGGAGAGCCGGCAGCCCCATTAACAGACCTGGAGAATGGTGCCTTTACATCTAGGATGGCTGCCTAATTTCCCCAGACTCCCAAGTCAGGCCTAGAGCCTGTCTTCTTTTTGATGATAATGCACAAACAAGACTCTCTGAGTCATCCCACCGCCAATACCCAAACAATGTATTTGAATAGATAATAACAGATGGTGGGAGCTAAAAATACCTTAACTAGTTAAAAATGTGAGCGGGACAAAGAAACCAACTGGGCAATTCTTGCTCTCCCTCCAACATGTCAGTCTTAAGTCAGTTGGCTCATCATTTTTTCCTAACTATTGGAATATCTATGTCAATGGATACTGATATAGGAAAAGATGGATTAGGAGAGACTATCCGGGTGCTTCTCTGTGGCCTTAAACCTCCAGGCAAGTCTGCTGAGGAGAGGCTTGAACAGGGGTCTTTAAGGGACTGATGGGAACAAGTTCAATGAGAGGAGCAAAGTCCTTCAGAAAACGGACATAAAATACAGATTTGAGAATATGTAGGAGATTTGTGGATCAACAGAAGGCCAGAGACAGTCATGAGAAATCTATATGGCTGGCCCTCCCACCACCTCCCACCCCACCCCCAACCCTGCCCCCAACCCTGCCCCCTCGTCCTGATGGCTTGCTCATCATGCGATGGGGAGTGATTTGAGCCCATTACCATGAAATCTTTTTTTCTTTTTTTTAATTTTTTTTTTGGTTTTTTGGAGACAGGGTTTCTCTGTGTAGCTTTGTGCCTTTCCTGGAATTCACTTGGTAGCCCAGGCTCGCCTCGAACTCACAAAGATCTGCCTGCCTCTGCCTCCTGAGTGCTGGGATTAAAGGCGTGCGCCACCACCGCCTGGCTGTGAAATCTTAAGTAATGGAAAAACCCCAGTAAGTGAGACTTCTAGACAGCTGGGGGTCAGAGGGTGTATGCATGGAAGACACATCAGAAATGGACATCAGAGCAAAGGTCTAAGAGGAGAACCAATCAGAAGAGCATCTGGGAGGGCGGGATGTGGTGGGCAGCCATTCCAGCTTTTTTTTTTTTTTTTTTTTTTTTTTTTTTTTTTTTTTTTTTTTTTTTTTTTTTTTTTTTTTTTTTAGGAGAGGTTTTTTTTTTTTTTTTTTTTTTTGGGTTTTTCGAGACAGGGTTTCTCTGTGTAGCTTTGCGCCTTTCCTGGAGCTCACTTGGTAGCCCAGGCTGGCCTCGAACTCACAGAGATCCGCCTGCCTCTGCCTCCCGAGTGCTGGGATTAAAGGCGTGCGCCACCAATGCCCGGCCTCCATTCCAGCTTTGATCTGGAAGTTCTAACCCCCTATTGAGGCTTTGGTAACTGTCACGCCTACAAGGCGGGGCCAAGAGAGGACCCTGAAGACCCGAGATCCAGATGTGCCTGATCTATTGGTTCCTGGACCTTGGATGCTAGAGGTAGACCAAGCAGAGTTCTCCAGAGAACACTGCCAGACTGCGCTGCCTGCGTCTTTCCCAGCACCCTCAACCTACCTATCCCTTCATTTGTAAGTTGCGCCATTAAATAAATCTCCCTTTTAACTATGTGGAGTGGCCTTAATAATTTCACCAATAGCGGCATAAGACATGCATGCTTCATAGATGGCTGGACAGGACCCTAGACATAGTCCCATTTGGCTGGACTTTAATTTCCAAACTCAAGTGACTGCAGTTTAAGGAGTTCAAATGACTTGCCTAGGAAAACTGGGGCAAGAATTTGTGCTTCTTCTGACTCTATATCATGATTTGTTATATCACTTTACACACACACACACACACACACACACACACACACACACACACACTTGTGACATCTGTCATTTGGGGCACACACACACACACACTTGTGACATCTGTCATTTGGGGCACACACACACACACATTTGTGACATCTGTCATTTGGGGCACACACACAGGTGACACCTGTCATTTGGGGCACACACACTTGTGACACACATACACACACACACACACACACACACACACACACACACTGTGGCTCAGTTTGTAGAACAATAGAGAACGTACAGCCATATTCCTAATCTGGGGCCCTGCAAGTGTCCTCAGATGATTCAGGAGGGCGTGGTAGGTCTTGGTTTTCTCCTTTGGTTGCTCCGAAACCAGAAAATCCAGGGCATCTTTCAACTGTGCCAGGCTGTATGCTGCCCCTACTGTTGCCCCTGGAAGCAAGAGAAGAACGTAAATGTACAGAGAGCCTGCGTGCACGCTTCTAAATAGGTCAGCTCTTCGAATGTTTAGTTGGGATGACAACAAGCAAGGATAATTAGGGATACTTCTGGCGATTTGCTTCATTGAGATGGTCAGCATTAAAGTCTACTTGACTGGATGGAGGAAAACCTGGAAAATGAGTGAAGGTGTCTGAGGGCGTTTCGAGAGAAGATTAACTAGCGGAGACTTCCGTCAGCCTGAGCTGCGCCGTCTTCTAACACGGGAGCCCAGAAGGAGAAAGAACACTAAACCATCAACCAGAGAACTGTTTGACACTTTCTGCCTCCTGCCTGGGGACACAATGTGACCAGCTGCCCCCAGTGCTTATTCTCATGAGTTCCGAGTCACACAATTGTGCCCTTGAATGGAGGTCCAGAACAAGCCCTCTCTCCCTCCCTCCCTCCCTCCCTCCCTCCCTCCCTCCCTCCCTCCTTTACTTCCTGGTGGGTATTCGCCACAGCACTGAGACAAGAGACTCACACAAAGGGAGAGCTGTCTCAGGCTGGGGCTCTTTCTCCGTCTGCTCCCCGGGCGCCATGATGCAGCTGCCCTGCTCAGCCGCACCCTTCCTGCCATGATGGAATGAAACTTTCGAAACCATGATCCAACATAAACCTTTCCTCCTTCGGATGGACTTCCCACAGATATCTTGTCATAGTGATGAAAAACTAGGACAATGCCTCTTCTCGGTCATAGACGGTCGCGTTTGCCTTGGATTTTAGTACGTGCTAACCACAGATAACCAAAATGCAATACTTCATGTGCTTTCCCAGAGTAAATGATCACATGTGGGGATTCTAAGCCCTTCCCTTCTTTCGAAACAGTTTTGTTACACTATAGCACTCAGACTGGTCTTAACCCCCTGGACACTAGACTATAAGGTGCGCCAGTACATTAGGACTTAAAAACCGTCTTTGAAGATGTCATTAAACTAGAAAATTCATTGGCGGAATTTCCACTGTCCATTTGCTCTCCTTCCATGGTCCTCTCTTCCCCCTTGCCCCGCCCCCTTCCAAAAAGAGAACAGGAGTGATACTTGCTGGTAGCAGGCTAGTTTGGTTTGCAGGTGTGCTAACAGGGCATGATTTCAGTAGTGTTGTCTTTCCAGGGCTAATGGAATCCCCGAGGGAGTGACTAAAAAAATCTCAGTATGCATCCAGTACCAGTTAACCTACTGCACATAAAAAATCATGCATTTTATCTGCAGTGTTAAAGTTTCACGGAGGGATGATGAAAGGGCGCTTACTGCTCCTGGGAGGGAGGGCAATGAAGAAAAGTTGGAGCAACAGATGTAGTTCTATGAGTGCTGCTTCCCATCTCTACATCCTCACTCACCCTAGCCAGTGACATGCCCGATAGTCTCCCCTATCCATCTTTTCCTATATCCATATCCACTGATACAGATATTCCAATAGTTGGGAAAAAATGAACTGACTTAAGACTGACATGTTGGAGGGAGAGCAAGAATTGCCCAGTTGGTTTCTTTGTCCCACTCACATTTTTAACTAGTTAAGGTATTTTTAGCTCCCACCATCTATTATTTGTCTATTCAAATACATTGTTTGGGTATTGGCAGTGGGATGACTCAGAGAGTCTTGTTTGTGCATTATCATCAAAAAGAAGACAGGCTCTAGGCCTGACTTGGGAGTCTGGGGAGATTATTTAGGTCCTTTGATTCTGAATCTTCCAGAGGACATTGGAGACTCCAAGGTATGAGCTAGGTCTGTCTCCTAGGGTTGACCTAAAAATCAAAGAGACAGGACATGTGAACACACCTGGCAACTTGTTGAAAGAAAGGAAGAAAGAAAGAAAGAAAGAAAGAAAGAAAGAAAGAAAGAAAGAAAGAAAGAAAGAAAGAAAGAAAGAAAGAAAGAAAAATGAAGGAAGGAAGGAAGGAAGTTGCCCATAATTGCATTTTAAATCTTGTGGCTAAGATTGTGTCTGTGTCCGTGTCCGTGTGTATGTGTGTGTGCACGCGCTGCAAGGGTACACATGTGTGTGAGATGAACCTCAAGAAAGAAAACGTCCTAAGGGCTTATTGGACTAATCTTCCGGTACTTGGCCGAGCTCTTCAGCTCTTGGTCATCTTCTTGCTGTCATGGCTTTGATGACAATGTGATGCTCAGGGACACAGTCGAGTGAGACATCCTAAAGATGCTTATAGTGAACGCACAGTACACACCCAGTTGCTTTGAATGAATGCGCAAAGTCAGGGCTTCTGGGAGGTGTGACTGACTGCCATCAGAGCCCCGCCGAGCCAGGGCCGATGCCTTACTTGAACCAAGATGCTTACCTTTGTCTGTGCTTTCCACAAAGTTCAGTTCTGGAAGCCCAAGTGGGGATATAAAAACTGGATGGAATTCGCCTTTAAATTTAATACTGGGTCCTTAAGGAGAAAAAACAGGAAGCAGTTAGAATGAGAACGATGGGTTACTGGTATGACAAAGTAAAAATTATCATGTATACAACTCATTTGCAAAAGAAAAAAAAAGAAATAATTCTAAAAGACCCGAGTCCCATGAATAGAAATGAGCCTGGTTTATGGAGAGCTGAGGGGTGGGGTGGGGTGTGGGGGCTTCAGTTACCTGATCTGAAGGAAAACACATGCAAATAACACATACCCACTGCGGTGTTCCCCATGACCAGTGGGGCTTTGGGGTAGCTGGCTTTGAGTTCCAGAAGGTCTTTCAAGGTCACCGGCATGAACCAGGTGGTCTTCGCCCCTTGGAATGTCAGCCTCCTCTTATGGGGATCTTCGGCCATTCTCTGCAGAGAAGCAAAGCCACTGTGCTTTCCGGGGATCCAAATGGTCCACGGGTCACTTTAGCTTTCTCAGGGATCAGGAAGGGGTGGACTGAAACTACCAGATCGATGAGCCTGTCTCCTGCTAGGTGTGCACAGGGACAGTGTTTGTGCTTGTGAAGTGGCTGTCTGAAGAGGCACTCAGGGCAGTGCAAGTGCCTAGGTCTCTTCTAGTTCCGCTCCACCACCGGGGAATTAGAATTCCCACAGGAAACAGCCCCTGAGGAAGAACTGGGTTCTCACCAGACTTCCTGCGTGGCCCTGCCAACTCGGCTCACCCCCAGATCTACGGGTGACACATCCTGGCAACATATAAATGGCACCATTGCCACAGGCGAGGTGGAGAGAGGCTGAGAATGTTTCCCCCTCGGTTCTGGGGGACACTGTAGGTGAATCTGTTTCCTGGTGGCTGCCTCCCGGCTCTTTAGTTAAGCGGTGAGCAGTGGATTGGAGAGAGTGATAACTGTCCTCAGAGATGCACCTTCGGGCTCAAACACTGACCACAGGAAACATTGTCACCCAACACTATCCCCTTAAAAATTTAAAAATCACTTATTATTTGTTTGTCTATTTGTGTGTGTGTGTGTGTTGTGTCCATGTGTGTGTATTGTGTGTTATGTGTGTGTATAAGGAAATTTTTTTTCTCACAACCTTGCTTATATCTATCTAGTATATACCTATCTATATTTAGGCAAACAACTTTAAAATAATGCCTCATGGAGGACACAGATGGCTGCCCTCCATACTTCTTGGTCTGTGTGGAGGGGCATAATCAACCAGGAGTGCCCTGTCCAGGGTTCTTGGTGTTTCTTTTAAATATTTATTTATTTATTTATTTATTTATTTATTTATTTATTTATTTATTTATTTATTTATTGGTGGTGAGGTTGGCAAGGGCAGAAGGCAGATGGGAAGATATGTGGGATTGGAATGTATGATGTGAGGTCCACAAAGAATTAACACAAGTTAAAAAAAAAAAAAACAGGGGTTAGGGATTTAGCTCAGTGGTAGAGTGCTTGCCTAGCAAGGGCGAGGCCCTGGGTTCGGTCCTCAGCTCTGTTAAAAAAGCAACAACAACAACAACAACAAAACAACAGCCTCCCCTCGACACGCCACAAGCCAACCCAATATAGACAATCTCTTCACTGAAACCCTTTTCCCAGGTGATACTAGGTCGAATCAAGTTGTCAATTAAAGCTAATCATTCCATGATCCATCAAAAAAAAATACTGACATAGCCAAGGTGTCCAAGTTCTCAGGCTCTGAGGGGTACAAGGCACTGGGTTCTGAGAAGCCACGGGGATTCTCTGTCTCCTACCATGCTTTCTCCAGGACACAGTTATAGAACAGGGGTTCAGACATACCACAATGTGACACCTTCTTTTCTTTCTTTCTTTTTTTTAAAAAAGATTTATTTATTATTATGTATACAGTATTCTGTCTGCATTTATATCTGCAGGCCAGAAGAGAGCACCAGATCGCATTACAGATGGTTGTGAGCCACCATGTGGTTGCTGGGATTGAACTCAGGACCTCTGGAAGAGCAGTCAGTGCTCTTAACCACTGAGCCACCTCTCCAGCCCTGACACATTTTTTTCTTTTCCCTTTTTTCTTTAGTAGACTTGAGCCAGTGGTTAACTGTAAGAACAGTCCAATTCCATTGTCCTAAGTATCTTTTTATTGTCACTTTACTGTTTTATAAATTGGCTTTAAGATACCTGTGAGTTCCTGTATGACCTTCTGTGGTGACTCATCTACACTCTGACCTCAGAATCTTCAGGTAAAAGGGATTTAGCCAATGGGACTCTGAGGTCCTGGCAGTTCCACTCTTTCATGAGCTCTGATTTGATTACCTACTGAAAGGACTGAACAAGTCCCGAAAAAGGACTCCATCACGGTGGACACACTCACATCTTCTTAATAGCTAGAGCTTTGTGGTTCTACAGAAAGGCGTGGGCCACATCGTATTATGAAACCACAAAAGCAGAGCAACTTACGATCAGTTCAGGAGGGAATATAGGTTCCTGGGATGGATCCAGGGGCTGGAACTCATCTTCATCATACAGTTTGGTACACATCTCAACAAAACACAACACAACACCAATGGAACGTCAGAGTTACCGAGAGACACACAGCAATATTCAAGGGTGGCATTCCTCCTGACACCCCAATACGAAGCAAGATATTGGAGTCACAGGACCCCCTCATGCAGAATTCTCCTGTCACTTCCAGGACTGAGGGGTGGTGTCCTTAGCACATGGACAAGACTCTGGACTTCTCAGCTGTCAGAGCTGAGCATTAGATGTCTGCACTGGGTCTCCTGTATTATTATATTTTCATGAGCACAAAGGTGCCTGAGGTGGTTAATATTGATTATCAACTCAACAGGCTCTAGAATCTACCAGAAGACAAACCTCCAGCCATGTCTGTGAGGGAGAATCTAGACTGGGTTAACTGGGTGGAAAGACCTCCGCTGAATGTGAGTGGCACTGTCCTATGGGCCTGGACTGAATGAAAGGGTGAGAGCTGAGTACAGCCTCCATCTGTCTGTGTGGATGCAGTGCAACCAGGCGTCTTCTGTTCCTGCCCCATGCCGTCCCTCCATAGTGCCCTGCTCTCTCCCATTGAGACTTTTAGTGACATGAATGTTACTTATTTTTGCCTTGTAATGACTGACAAGAATAGATAGATACATTTGGATTTTTGTTAACATTTTTTTTGAGTCAATCCCAATTGGAGTGGGAAAACCAGACACTTACTTTTTCCTCTCTGCTCACAAAAGACGTTTCATCTGGATCCATGCAGCATTTTCCAGATCCTTTCATTTGGCAAACAGTAGCTCCCTGGGGAAGTAATGCAATTTAAGTCAGCTTCGTGGTCAGGTCTCTGAACACGCTGCCTGAGGTCCCCATATCTATAACTCAACCAAATGGATCTGTGCATTCCTCACTTCTGGTTTTGGCTGAATGGAAGGAGACCCCTGCAGGATTCACATCTCATCAAGCTACTGATTCTCTGCTCCCAGTAAAACAGATAACAAGACCTGGGAATGGCAGGCACGCACTTGTAGTCCCAGTACTTGGGGAGTAGAGGCAGGAGGATTAGGAGTTCAAGGCCATCTTTAGATAAGTTGGAGGCAAGCCTGGGCTCTATGAAACCCTGTCTCAAAAACAAAAAACCCAAACAAATCAAAACAAATAAACAAAAACAAGAAAAGGGGCTAGAATCTATGTGGCTGAGTGAGTAAGCTGATGTGTAAGCGCCTTGGTAAGATGCCTCACATCACAGCCAACAATAAAAATGCTTTAAACCTCTACAGGAGTTCGGGAGGCTAGGTAACAAGCTCTCCCACTACTGAACGATTAGAGAAAAATAAAGGGAACGTGCAACTGTGTTTCCAGTGGAGACCTACAAACTGTCACCCTGGGCTCAGGGGAAGAAGACAAATGGGATTGCAGTCCATGGGATCAGTCACCGGGGCTCCCCACGGGAAGTGAGAAACATGGAGGGTACTTATACTATGGTGGTTAACCCAAGTATGGAGGCCATCGTGAATTATTTGAAGGATTCAAATTGCTAATCATTTAATTATAATTTTTCGGGTATTTCATGTGGAACCAAAAGATAAACTTTTGGGCCTGAATTTGTCAGTTGCTGTGACCGTCAGTTCCTCTTCCTCTTCCTTGTTCTCCTGTTCCTCTTCCTCCTTTTCTAGCTTTTCCAATGCTCCAGTGAGAGAAGGCCTCACACTATAGGCCGGGCTGACCCGGAAGTGATTCACTGTAGAGGCCGGGCGGCCTTGGACTTCTGGCAGGTCCGTGCCTTAGCCTCCAAGCGCTGGGATAACAAGTGTGTACCACAATTCCCAGCTTCACTTATTATTGCCGCCTTATGTGTAAACAGTGCCAAGGGCATGTGGCAATTTGGAGACAATGGATGCCATATTTAAAATCAAGAGTCTAGTTCCTGGTTTAGCATGTACTGGCCAGGCTGGGCTTGTTAAACTGGAATAATAAACCCCATGGCAAACGGTTTTGTTACACTTAATGATGGGAAAATCCCACATAATGTCTGACGCACACACCTGCTGTGAAAGTGACAGCTGGTATTTTGAACTCCAAGGCCATTTCTATAGAATTAATTAGGGCTTTGGATACTGTAAACTGTGCTTAGTAAAGGAACTAATTCTTTGTATTTTTGTTTACATCCTTACATAGATTTTTATCTACAAAGAAGACCATATAGTTTTAGGCTGGACAATGTGAAGAAGGTGTTGTTTCTGTAGGTCAAAAAATGGTAAAACATTGGTCACTATTATGACTTACCATAAATAGTATCTTAGGAATTAAAATGAAATAACCTGTAATTTGTAAAACTTCCTGAAAATTTTTAGTAGTAGCATAAAAATATAAGTTTCTAAGGTTGTTTTAATTTAAAAAAAAAGATTTTATTTATTTAATATGTATACAGTGTTCTGTCTGCACGTATCCCTGCAGGCCAGAAGAAGGCACCAGGTCTCATTACAGATGATTGTGAGCCACCATGTGGTTGCTGGGATTGAACTCAGGACCTCTGGAAGAGCAGCCAGTGCTCTTAACCTCTGAGCCATCTCTCCAGTCCTGGTTGTTTTAATTTTTATTTGCTTTTATTTTTAGACAAGGTCTCTAGCATTTCTGAATGGCCCAGAACTGTGTAGCCAAGTTCTGATCCCCCTGCCTCTCCTACCTGAATGCTTGGATTACAAGCACGCACGCACCGTCACACCTTTTTCATATGGTGCTAGGCTTTGTGTCTGCTAGGCAAGCACCCTACCAACTAAACTACGCCCTGGCTCCTCAAAAGTTTACAGTATTGGGAATGAACTGGTATACTTTGAATTATTTTCGGTCAACAAAAATGATACAGAAATAATTTTTATCATGAAAAGTGGACCCTTTATGTTTCAAGATGTCTGCCCCTGTATGCGCTAATCATGTTTTCCAACTTTCTCTGTTCTTAGCTTTCAAGGTGACCTGGCTCTTGGCTTACTGCAGTCTCTGCTGCCTGGTGGTTAGATCTGGTTATGACTGGCAAGCTCCTTCTTGGAAGCTGTCTTTCTGTACCCACTGTGCCCCCCTGACCCTTGTGAACATTCCCTTCTGTGGTAACTCAGGCTTTCATCCCCCTGGTGTGCCTCCCAGGCTCATCCTTCCCACAGGCAGGAACTTCACTTCCCTGGGAAGTTCTGTGCTCACTGTGTGCTCCGGCTGGGGAACAATGTGTCTGTGTGTCGGCCAACAGCTTCAAGTCTAAACTCTTTAGCCCCAAGTGGTATACTTTCTTTTAGTTCTGAAACCTCCACCACACCAACTTCTCTCCTTCTTCCTTTTCCTTTTCACTCTGAGCCTTGGATATTGGGCATCTTTTTCTAGGTCAGCCAGTTCTCTCCTTGTAACGTTTCTACTGCTCTTTCTCCAGCAATTCACATCTGTAATTTCCTTTAGAATCTGGCTCCAGGTTCCCTTTCTCTGATAAGTTCTCTGCCTTTCCCTTTCCCTCAGTTCTCTTTAGTCGGTGTCCCTTCAATCTGTATGCCTGGTGGATACAGTAAGCATTTAATACCTGTCTTTCTTTCCTCCCCCTGGCCTTTCCGTTCCTACACTGGGGATTGAACTTTGGGTCTCATGTATGCTAGTGAGTGCTCTATCTCTGGGCCACACCCCAGGCTGCTTTTTGACTTGAGACAGGGCCTCACCAGGTGGCCCAGGCTGCTCTTGAATGCCTTCTATACTCCAGGGCGTCTTGCACTTGACATTCTCCGTCCCTGGCCTCAGTTCTGTGCCATAAAACTAGCTACTTTTTTTAAAAAAAATTATTATTTGTACACTTCACTTTCTTCATTTATTGGAGTGGTAGAATAAATTTTTATAATTCTCGTGAAAGTGTCAAATTTGAAGAAATAAACAAGATAGATGCTAAGGGCTTACTCATAAAAATACAACAATGTGCTATTATACTCCTGAACTCAGAGTGACTGCCTGCACAAAAGTGAGTCCACCAACACCGCACTGGGGAAGAGGCAGGGATTCATGACCCTTCATCCCTTCCTGAGGAGCTGCAAGCTATTACGTTTGCTGAGAGAGAGGAGTCCTGTTCCTCAGTAGTGGAGCCACCAGCAAGCTCCCCTTGCTCAGGTGAATAACCCCCTACCCACGTTCATGTAAGCAACCCTAATTAAAGTGCAGGGCAGGAAGGGGGGTCACAGAAAAAGACATGAAGGTAGGAGGGGGACCTGTTGGGAAGAAGAAGGGGTTTAGTGGGAGTGGGGGGCAGGAAGAGAGGGTAATGGAGGGGATCGCAATCAAAGGACATTACATATGGGTATAAAATTGTGAAAGAATAAATACAAATAAAAAAATATAAACAGCAGGTGTCTGGCAACCCTCAATGGTTAGAATGGGCAATATCGGGGTTCACGTCTAGGGATAGTGAGTAAAATAGGTTATTTTATGTAAAAGTCCATTCACAAATTAAGTTAATAGAATATTAGCCTACAACATTTTAACTTACCGGTGAGAACGTTTTCCCACTTTCTACAATTGGTCGGTATCCAGTACATCGGCACAAGTTACCTGATTAATAAGAAATGAATCAGGTCTTAGAGTCTCATCCAGAAATGGACAGCACAGCTAATGCTTAGTGTTTTCAGCAAAATAGGCAAGCTTATTTTTTGCTCTGAAACCCAGCGAGATTCTTTGAAAAAAACTCTTCCCTGGGAGATATTCTTCAACAGCAGGCCATGTGATTACAGTTTTTTTTTTTTTTTCTGAAACACTAGAGAAATCTTCACATTTCCCAACCAACTCTTCCTGCCTATCTCATGCCTATATCCTAAACAGAATACCCATTGTTCTCATGGCTTCGTCACAGCTGTGGGAAGAGCAGTTTTCTTCTGCCAGCAGGTTCGATCATGATGAGCAATCTCCCTATAGATGCAAAGCAATGGAGTCAGCAGATCCTGAACTGGAGCCTCTTAACTGTGAGCCAAAACATACCCGTTCTGTTCGTAAATTAATTATCTCAAGCATTTTGTCATAGTAATGGAAAGTTGCCTAACACAGGGAGCATTCTTGAAGGTCTCTGACTCTGTTCTCCAGGGGAATACTTCAGGCAGGACTGTTTCACTGATTGCCTGGATTCTGCAATAGGTGTGTTGGGTCATTTGTGAATTCACCTTAGTTTACTTGTTGGATCATAAACTGGAGATGGCCTTGGATGTTCTTGAGTCCACTGTGAAGGCATGGTCTGTATTCAATATGTTGCTGATACTGTTCAGTCAGTCAACATTTCCAAATAATGGTTGAAAGTAGGAGGGAAACCGCTACCCATAAAAAAGTGTATGAATTCAGGTGTGGTGGCACATACATGCCTTTGATCCCAGCACTCAGAAGGCAGAGGCCAGCCTGGTCTACACAGTGAGTTTCAGGACAGCCAGAGGCTATATAATGAGATCCTGTCTCAAAAATTTGAAAATACATTGTGCAAATTTTACAATCAGTTTGAATGGTAATTATGAAGAGGTCTGACTGACATGGGGAGAGTCTCATACTGTTGAAATCATGCATAGAAAACCACACATAAAACAGATATACGTACTCAAACAAATAAAAATCTGAGCCTAAAAGATGGACAAAGGAGAGAAGTCTTCGACAGTGGTTATCTGTTAGTGGGAGAATTGTGCATGAGTTTTTCTTTGCCTTTTAATTTTAGGGACATTTTCCCAATAGAAGACATTATAATTACACTAGAAAGAACACTTCAAATTATTAAGTTCCACTTCAATTTTACAAGTTCAGAGCACTGTGCCTGTGGACCGGGTGTCCTTAAACACTGGACAGAAAAGTGTGTGGAGAAATGAGGCAGGTGAGCCATGTGGAAACGGGTTCTGGGGGAGTGCCTTCCCGCTTATTAAAATGGGGCCAGCTCAGGAATATACACAGGCAAGAAGGGCTGCAGATTCCGTGATCTTTGTTTTGGTAAGAGGGAGAGAAAAATCATAAACGGATCTAAACTTAGAATTTGTCTTCATTGTGGAGCTGAGACAGGGTGTCAAAAACATAGTCAGGGGGCATGAGTCAGAAGGTTAGGAAGGCAATGAACTCCTTCCTTCATAGAGAGAGATGGGGCAAACATAAGGTCTAGCATGAGCCAGGATCAGGGGTTTTGTTTTGGGTCACAGTCTTAAGTCTATAGTATCAAAGAGGAACCCCAAAGGGGGAGCCCCAGGAGGACCCCAAAGAAGAGCCCCAGGAGGACCCCAGGAGGACATAACTGGTTGCTTATGTCTCGGTGGATGGTCACACACCTGTTTGCATCTGGCACTAATTGAATTGGGGCGGGGGGGGGTATTGATAACAATAAAAAGAGCATGTAAGGTTAAGAGGGGGAGAGGGGAGGGCACTAGGGGGGTTGAAAGTAGTGGTGGGTGGATATGATTAATATACGCTGTATAAATATATGAAACTTTCAAATAATAGAAAATATTAAATAAGAAAAAAATTGGCATGTCTGTATTTTATAATAATATACAGCCAAAAGGAAATGCATGCATATGTATTTCAATATCTTAAAGACATCCCCAGGATAATTGCACCAATGACAGTATTTCTTCTAATTCTGTAGGGAAAAAGTGGAAATTAAAAATTCTTACTCCCTTAGTCTTGAAGGGCAAAGACTAACTTCAATGAAGCAGTGGTTCATACAGTCACTGATTTAGAAGTTGTGTGCTTATGCTATTACATTTTGATTTGAAACAAATTTATTTATGTATTTATTTATATTTTCTGTGTATGAATGCTTTGTATGTATGTATGAATGTATGAATGTATGCATGTTGTATGTATGTATGCATGTATGTATGTGTGTATGTATGAATGTATGTATGTGTATATGTGTGTATGAATGTATGTGTGTATGTATGTATGTATGTATGCATGTATCTGTACTATGTGCATGCTTTGTGCCAGCAGAGGCCAGAAGAGGTTTCAGATCCTGGAACTAGAGTCACACATAGTTGGCATCTGTCATGTGCTGCTGGGAACCAAGTCTAGATCTTCTGCCCGATCAGCAGGTATGTTGTAGAATGTTAGCTTAAGGTGTGTTACATTCATTTGTGCTGTGGAGTATTTGCTTAGTGATGCCAAAATGTCTTGCATTCTTTTATGTTGCATTTAACTCTGTGAAACTGTGTTAATTTGCCTGCCTAAAACACCTGATGGTCTAATAAAGAGCTGAATTAGAGGCGGGAGATGGATAGGCAGGGCTTCAAGGCAGAGAGAATAAATAGGAGAAATCTAGGCTGGAGAGAGGGAGGAGCCAGCCACCCAGCCACAGAACCAGCCATCGAGGAAGAAGGAAAGAAAGGTGTATAGAGTAGAGAGAGGTAAAAGCCCAGAGGCAAAAGCTAGATGAGATAATTTAAGAAGAGCTGGCAAGAAACAAGCCAAGCTAAGGACGGGCATCATAAGTAAAAATAAGTCTCTGTGTATTTATTTGGGAGCTGGGTGGTGGGCCCCCTAAGAATAAAAAAAAAATCCACTACACAGGTACCCTGAACCACTGAGCTGTCTCTCTAGCCCCACCCTCTCTACATTTTGTTTTGATTTTTTGAGATAGGCCCCTCTCCCGATCTCTCCTCTGCCTCTCACTCTGTAGCTGGTGTTTTCCTGCCTCAGCCTACAGGTATGCACCACCACACCTCTGGACTGCAATGCTTTGAACTGCACTGTATACTGTTGTCTTTCTGGGACTGTGAGCATGAATGCTGTCAGTGTGGCCCCCACTTATAATTTTAGAAAGAGCACAAGTAAATGCCTTGTGAGCCAAATACACTCTTCAAGCTATCAACTCAGAATAAGATTATCCGCCTCTTGCATAGTGTCTGCCCTCTCTCCCACTCTCAGTGCTGAGGACAGCGTGTTGAGCTAGGCTGGTGTACCCAACATCCTCAGTGCTGAGGACAGCATGTAGAGCTAGGCAGGTGTACCCAACACCCTCAGCTGATTTTCCATCTTTTTCGTGTTGGCCATCATGTGAATTATAGTCAGGAATCATGAGGGCTATACCCCATCTCTATCCGACTGCCTGTACCCAAGAAAAAAGTCAAGCAAAACTCCAAGTCCAAGATCTCTGATTCTCAAAGCTCTTAATTCTCATTGTATTACTCGTTACTTTACTGAACAACAAAAAGATTACTGGTTGCTTAATCAATTCAGGCTTGGTTAAAATCATAACCAAAACTACAGGCCACAGCAGTTTACTGAAAATTTTGAGTGAAGCTGTTGAGAGAAGATATGAAGGAACACTTATACCCCAATTCCGAAACCATTTAAGTTGAACTTTGACCTAGCTTTCTTCTGCATCTTTTCATCATAATCGAGTTTCTGCCTGTTCTGTTTGTGGAACAGGACAAGGAGTTTCCTTTAATATCTCTTAGTTGAGTCAACACTATTAATACTTTAGATTTCATACCCCTAAACTAGAAAGGTTTGTGATAGAAACTACATTTGTTGACATGTCTTTCTAGATACAAAGTCAGAATTTTCACAGTTAGATTTATCAGTATTTTTGTAGGAATTGAATTGCTCACTGTTTGCTTATGATAACCCATTGTTTCTGAGGGCCCACACACAGCCATCACATAAAGATATCCAGTACCCCCAAATCTTTCTTCCTTTCTTTGTAGGATTAATTTTAGTAAGCAATGTTAGTGAATAATTTAGACTCACTAATTAAAACACAAATAGCAAAATCTTATTATTCCACTCTGCCCACATTTCCGTGTTTGGAAAAGGCTGTATTAGCATTAGTGTAGGCGTTAAAATACCGTGAAAGCATCAGCAAAGGAAAAGTCTAATGATGGAGTCAGTATTGTCTCAACTACCAGCCTCAGGGCTGCAGAACCAAGACAGCGCCTGTCTGCCCCAGTGTCTTTCGGAGGAGCTGGGCCATCCATCTTTAGCTCCCCGAGTCTTGCCCGCCAAAGCCTCACCTCCAAGTGCCTCAGTGATCTGATCAGGTGTCGGCTCCGGGTGGTTCCTGAGCAGCGTGTAGATGGACATCACCATGCCAGGGCTGCAGAATCCACACTGCGTGCCATGACACTTGGCAAGCCGTTCCTGAGAGACAAAGGCACACCACCAGTGCGTTAGACCTTTGGCCTTGCATGCTAGCACAGAGTCTAAACTTTCTGAAAACAACTTCAGGAGAAACGCCTGCTTCTGGAGGAAGAAGATGAATTTCTTAAAGTCAGATTCATGGACTTTTGCTTAAAAAAAAAAAAGAAGGCCTAGTGTCAGAACCCTTCTCACACCCTGCTTTCTTTTTCCTTCTCACTCACTCTATCACTTCGGATGATGTGTTCAACTTTTCTTCATGTTTACAACTAGGGTGATAATGGCCTGCACTTTGCAGAATAAATGAATGTGTGGGAGTCATTGAATGTGTGTCCAGAGTCAGCAGGCTCTGGACAGGCGTCTTCATGCTCTTCCCCATTTAGATCAGAGAATTTATGGTGTACTAAATGTTACAATCTATATATTTAAAAAAGCTGAACATTCTATTTGATATTGCAGGGCTAGTCCCACATTTAAATCATGCACATTCAATCTTATACAGAGAAAACAGTGGGGGAAACGTCAATTTATTTGCTCTCTACAGAATCCCTAAGCCAGGAAGCTACAAATGGAGCCAGGGCTGCCAGTCCCGCCTGCCTGACACTCCACACTCGCCCAGCTGGCTCGAGTATAATTCTAGTGTTCTCAAATCAACATTTCCCCCCAAACATCATGGCTCCTCTAATGAAAGCCAAATGCTCTGTCTGTGGTCCAACTGAAGGGACAGACATTATTTTAGTTAGGGGACAACATGGCTGCATGTATTTATGGCTACATGGCTGTCGTGTCTGCTCTGATAGATAGTCCAGACTGTAGAATCTGCTAGCGTGTTGAACACCTGGCTCTCTCGGGGAGACAGGCCTTCACACACAACTTCTTTACCGATGTTTATTGCACAAATACCTCTACTACCACGGCAAGTACGATTTATACAAACCAGGGTACTTTAAGGGAGTCTAGTTTAAATTGACTATGGATATGTTTAAAGACAATCAGCAGAAACCTGCAAATTTAACAATAGGCTTTTGCGAGCTGGGGCAAGCCTGTTCTGGGACACCACTGAACAAATGTGACTGGTGTCCCATCAAGACCTGGGAGAGTTAAATCTACTAAACACAGAAGGTGAATGCTGGGTAAATCCACAGGACACAGCGATTTGAGCTAAGGGCTGAAAGATATGAACAGGTCTCTGTCAGGAGTAGTGGGCAGTCAATGAAGCTGCCATGTTCCAGACACAGCCTTTCAAGGAAGGAGTCCTAAGGGAAAGACTCTTCATCCTTCTCTTTCTACAGCCTGCCTTTCAAGCTCACCCAGCAGGAGTTCCTGCTCAGTCATAAGAAAACTGCCGCCCTTTCTTTGAAGAGCCCTCCAGACTTGAACAACCACCCTGCTGCATTTTAATTGTAGCCAGTAGTTGGGGGATTTTTCCGGAGCCTTCTCACACGCAGCTCAACTCTCCTCAGCACCCCACACTTTGGAACAGTGAGAAATGAAGAAGTCTATTTTCTATAAACTCTGGTTTTCTACCTCGTTTTCTTCTTGAGTAAGACTGCCCTTATCTGTTAGTTACTGGCCAAAACAGAGCTGAGAAGGTCTCTCGGGTTAAGATGTCTCTTTACAATCGATGACAGCATCTTGAAGAGATGTCTGAAAAAGATTCCTAGCTACAAAGCACTGACTCTTCCAAAACAAGAATGTAAAAGAATAAAGGGGTTCAAGCTTAGAGAACTCGGGAGAGCACACCGGACTATGAGCTTGGGGACCCCAGGAGAACACACCAGACTATGAGCTTGGGGACCCCAGGAGAACACACCAGACTATGA